GGGTGGTGGTTAGGAACTGTGTATTTAAATTTTATTTATTTTTTCTTCACTGCTTTAGCACAGGATTCGTGTGGGTTTTATTTATAAAACTACTACGGTTGACCAGTACATAATTAAGGACAAATAAAACTTTCAAATAAAAGAACAAAAACTGACATAACACAAACCGATGGCTGTCCTGTGTGCAGGCCTAAGAATAACAATGAAAATAAAAAAAGTAAACATGCATTTAATGATAATGGAAAAACGGATGCTTATTATCTTGAATATATAATATCTTCAATAGAAGATGCACAGCCAAAGTTTAGTGTTATTCCACAGCCCCTTTAACTGTGATTTGACTGATTCTTTTGCTACACACCAAAAAAATGTTAATGTCATGGTGTTAAAACCCATTTTGGGTTATCAGCTGCGACTGATATGAATTTTAACAGCTTGGGGCAATGACAATATAATGACAATGAATTTGTTTTGTTTTTCGGGCAGCACTGTGCCATAAATATGTCCCGGCATACGTCATGTGCCGTCATGAGTTGTAACAACAGACTTTTTCCAGCAATGATGTTGTGTTATAGGTAGATATCATGGCAGATGCCAGAATGTTTGACGCATGATGGCCTACGAGAGAAGGTTTAGCAAAAATTAGCATAACTTCAATCATTATGGCATCTGTCATTACAATTATTGTTTAAAAGTAACATGACACTGTTATATTACTGGACAAAATCTGTCATGGCAGGATATGGCATCTGCCATTATGTTTATGGCATGGTTATGTCAAAGTTGTAGTGCTTATTCAAATGCTTGAATAATGTTAATGTTAAGTAATTCAGTAGATCACAAACTAAGCATAGTGTATGATTGTCATGGCTAAAGTCTCATAAAGATTTATTCACTTTTGCTGAGTAAAACTAAACACAACATTACAAAAGTCTTACATAATCAGCACACATTTGGTTTACTTTGTGTTCTTAGGTGTTCTTTTGTTAAAGAGAGTTCTGAATGTCCAGCACATTATCCAGCATTAAGCGCCAGTGTTAAATCCTGTATTTTGCTCCTATAAAGGGATTAAAAGAATTTCCCTGAGCCTTTGATTTTGAACCATCTCAATGCGCCTGTGTGTGCGTGTGAATCACTGTCATGAATGTTTGCCCTAACATGCCGTTCAGTGGTTCAGACTGAAAACACAGGTGTATTTTCATGCCCTCTAATAGAGGCACTATTTAGCTAACACACTAAACTGTGTCCCACTTCTCACACTCCACACAGTGTACATTTTAACACTTATACAGGCTGAACTGTGTCCTCCTGTTACACTTTATTAGGTAGTTCACAACACCTGATATGCTTTATGTCCCCTCACCTAGTAAGGCACGTTCATAAGGACTTAAACAGTCCCGGATCATTATGTTCTTACAGTTCATTGGGTTCTTTGTTGACTTGTGCTACTGTAAAGCTACACAGCTATAACATAAGCTGTTCTATGAATAACACTTTAAGCAAAATACTTTTTTTAAGCAAAATAATTTTTTTACAGTTTTGTACAATGGAAAAGTTTATAGCCCTTATAAAAATTATATACAGTACTATACAAAAGCCAGAGACCACCGTTCATTTATCTCTAGTCAAATAAGTCATTAAGCGCAAGATATTCACTTATTCAAAAAGCAGGAAACATATTCAAGTGAAAATTACACAGAAGCCTCAACAGCTAAATGCAGAGTAGCATGATGCTCATATGCACAAGGTACTAAAAGAAATAAGAGAGTAACACCAGGCTTTGGGCTTGGTTAGGGGAGAGGTTTGAGGCAGTGAGCCAATAAAACTTAATACTAATGAATATTGATGTATTTAAAGAGTTAACAACAAACAATGTACAGCTTAAGGCTTTAAATAAAACAAGCTGTAGTCAAAATACCAAAAAAAGAAAAGCTTCCTTTCTTTGCTTTTTTTGTTTATGCACACATGTTAAAGCAGCACTATGTAACATTTGGGAATTTGGAGACCTCTCTGGTGGAAATGTGAAGTAAGTGCGGAAGAAACATTTTGTATCGTCAGTTGAGCTTCAGACCCAAACAAGCAGATCAATATGGTTATTATGAGTGTGTTGAAAGAGAATTCAAAGAAAATTCAGTCTAAACTTGGTGAAGGACGTGTTTTATAAGGATTTAAGTGAACGATCTCCTCTTGTCATCATATCTTCAACAGTATAATGTTGATTTGCATTTAAGTTGGACCTTCTTTTTGAGCCTATGCGTTGTTGCACCCTATTCTCACGTAAGAACATTAAATGATGTTGCTTAACAGTCTAGCTGCTTTTGTAGTAACCCATCTTAATGGAACAGTACAGTGATCAGTGCTCCTTGAAAAAATGCGGCTTCATGGACACATTAGCTAGCATAATATGTTCCTCTCTCAATGAACTCACATGTATATAGTTTTCACTGTATATAGTTCTCTTTACCCACATTTCTCTGTTTTGTCATTACAGTTGTAAATTTATGAGCAACAATGCACTGAACATTCAACAAAGGCTCAATTTCGCTGGCATAATCGCTAATGTTGAGCTAGTGGCTTCAGCTTTAGCATAAGGCTCAAATACATGGCTGGGTGAACATAAATGAAACTCTCTATGAACATAACCAAATGGCTACATAACTGGTAATCCAGCTCATTTTTTCATATTTTTTAGTGTGGTTACAACCAGATAAGAAATATTAGCTAATTGTGTCACAAGGCTAGCCAACTTTGTTGAAGTCTGGAGAAAATAACCCACCAGAGCGCTCTAATGGCTGTAAAACACTGAAATAAAAGCTTGAATTTCTGCCCTGAATCTGTTCTGTCACTTTTTTGAGCATTTCATCAAATCCTTTTCCTGACACCTCTAGATGGCTCATCCGCAAAGGGGGAGAAACGACAGTGAGGGACAAATGGGAGGAATAATGGCACTGCCCCACTCTCTGAACGGCTTGTGCATATTTTACTAAATGTAGCCCTTTTTTGTCCTGTGCTAATTATAAGTGGGTTACAATAATACCGATTTTTTCAGTGTTTAGTGTCCACCTTTTGCCTTTACTACTGCTATTCATTTCAGGAGACTTGCTTTCAGTTTTTTATGAAAATTTGCAGAAATATTTTTGACACTTCCAAAGTTCAGTCTTAGAAGTTGGTTGAAATTTCAGCTTCTTTTTCAACAGCTTCTGTTGAGGTCTGGGCTCTGTGGTCAGTCCATTGCTCTGAGATCACCAGCAGCTTTATTTCATTTACAAATGTACTTGTTTCCTTTTCTCAGTGAGGGCTTCTTAACAGCTACACATCCTTTTTAGATTCACAGCGCTGAGTCGTCTTCTCAGAGTGGAAGGATGGACAGAAGCACCTGTGGATTCTTTCAGATTTGAAGCAAGAGTGGAGCTTGATTTAGAGATGAAAGCTTTAAGTACTGTTTATCTGATTAGGACCGTTTTGGTGGTCTACCAGGTCTTGCACATGTGTTAGGAAAGACTTATGTTTTTTCACTTATTTTCACTGTGACTCTACTGTTGCTTATGCAAGTGGATAATCTTATATCTAATCTCCTCACAAATCTACTCAAAGTATGTATCATTTTAAAACATATTTTCTGTATGGGACAAAAAGGTAAAAAACCCTTTATCTGTAATCCATAATTGGGCAAAACACTTAATGTGGCCAGCTTTGGGCAGTTTGTTTTTCGGCTCATCCCTGTTTATTTGTGTCAGACTTTACTGCTACAGTATGTTTATTTTTCTCGCCCAGGGAAGTCAGCTCAGAGAAGACTGAGAGTGGGAGAAGATTCGAAATAGCTAGGTCAGCCCTTTTTTCTGCTCTAGGGAAGAAGGCTGAAGGGAACATATCTCTGGCACTAAAGTCTCCTAGAATTTCAAAGAGCTGAAAGTTGGCATTAATTCAGAGCTGCTAAGGGGATATGTGAATACCCTCAGTGTCTATGAAGAGGTCGGGGCAGGCCTGAGCTCCAACCCACAATGGAGAGTGGCTCCAACGCTTCCAGGCTGAAGTCATCTGGAGAGTATGGGCTGCCATTTTAGCCTTTTCCATCAGACTGCTGTCCACTCTGCCAAAGAACAGTGTGTCATAGCACTTGTGCCTCTTGACTCTGTGTGTGTGCGTGTATGACTTGTCCTGTTTTAAGCTCTGTCTTGGACAGAGCACTGGGTGTGTTTCTAATAAACAAAGGGTAGGCGCTTTGGTGAATTGGACAGAATGAGAACCACATTAGATGAACTGTTGTTATGACTGCAGGCTCCTTGTGAGTCAGCGAGTTTATGAAGCTGAGGGGAATTTTGAGAAAGAAAAAAAAATCTAACACTATTGGAAGGCTACCTTCCTAGATACTTCATGACAAATGCATACACAGAATAACATATTTAAAAAGCAATGCATGAGTATTTATAAATGGCTTATGTCAATATTTGAAAGATGACATTGGATGTTTATGAAGCAAATGGCACTATATTGACAAAAGGGGCCTAAAGTGATGGTTGTACTTATAAGACTGTGATCAATGTATAAGACACAGGCCGCATTCTATATCAGGTCTAGGAAAGATGCCCTCAAACTAAAGTGGTATAGTGAAATGTGTCTGAAAAGTATCACTTTAGTTAAAGAGTATCAAAATCTATAGAACTAATATATGGTGTTTTTTAATTAGATTTTGCCTTATAAGTTAAATTACATGAGACACAATCAATTCCAGGGCTATGAATGGAACAAATATCCATCACTAGGCTTCTTATGTCAATACAATGCCATTTACTTCATGAAACATCTTTTGTCAGCTTGTGTATACTGACATAAGCTGTTAAAAAATACTGCAGTAGTTATTTTAAAATATTTTATTCAATGTGTATGGATGTGTTATAAAGTTCTGCCAAAAATTCAGATTTTGCATTAGGAAGAGGAACACATAAAACACTATAAAACAATCTAAAATATGCATTGAAGGAAGAATGGGAACACTATTGTAAGGAATGGTTTAATTTATAGTATTTATTAAATGCATATTGTTTTATACAAACATATACAATTCTATACACAATAGACAATTGCAAAATCCATTTAGAAACAATCTCAACTCACTTCATGACCAAAAAGTGCAAAACGCAGCGAGTGCATGGCTAATTCTGTAACATATGGATGTCAAATGAGCAATAATCAAATTTTGCTGGATTTCAATTTTAAACATTTAGTAACATTTGATTAAACGTTTGACTAAATGCCATTGGCATAAGATATTATATTAAAAGTATGGTTCAAAATCTGTCTTTCCCAATGCATGCATACTTTGTAACATCCATAACATGAATTAAAACGACAATAAAGGCATCAATTTTTATAAAACAATGTTACAATTTATAGCTTCACATGACCTGCTATAGGAATGAGAAACGTGAGGATGTGAGACATAAAGTAAAAGCTTCAGGGTGAGATCAGTTGCATCAGTCCAGAAAGAAGTACAATTTATCAAAATCAGAATTACTTTAAATGACTTTATTGACTTATTTCTATAAATCTGCTTAAAATATATCAGTGAATGTTAACTTATCTGGCTGAAGGGAAATCAGGTTAAATGAACTGAAGATAGAACTGACCCCAACAGTGCTTTACTTCCAGTCTTTCAGTATCATTAACTGCCTGTGTAAACAAAAATAGTCCATCTGTACCATCTATCCTATGCCTTATCTGAAACAGTCCCTTCCAGGGCAGGATACTCTGCAGAAATACACGCATGGTGTTACATTAAGGCACTTAACATTCATTCAAAACTTTGGTTTCAAAGTTTAAAGTGGTTTTTGCGTGGCCTGGGGCACATCCCCAGAGACTGTGCTACAAGGAATGTAGAATCCCCAATCCCATAAAAAATAGTACAAATTTTTTTTTACAAAAGTAAGGATCAGCACGAAAAGGAATGTAATGCACTCTCAAACTTAAAGGTTCCTACATGGTTCTTCTTTTGGACATGGTTAAACTGGTATAGGACCTTTACGTTTCGTGGAGGCTCATTTAACTTTAAAAAGGTTTTTCACATTTGCATATTTCAATTACATTGATTTATTAAAGAACCATCCACTGAAAGGTTCTTTAGGGTAGTGGTTGTCAAACTGGTCTTAAGGGGCCCCCCAAGGTGGTCCATATTTTTGCTCAATCCCAACTCCCAACATGTAGACACAGAGCAAAAATATGGACCATCTGAGGGTTCCCAGGGACTAGGTTCACAACCACTGCTTTAGGGAACCGAAAGTGGTCCTTCTATGGCATTGGTGTAAAATCCTTTTTTTTGGCACTTCTATTTTTAGTGGAAAAGGGTGTGCTACTTAAAGTGCATGGGAGCCCCAAAGGGACTCCTAGTATTATACATCATAATATGGTAAAAGTCTGTAAATTCGTGAACCTTGGTTTGCTTCAAGTGCAAAAACAATGTTATCTTAATGGTGAACAAGTGAAAAGGTCAACTTCACTAGAAATAATGGAAGACCTTGGCCTCAGAGAAATAAGGCACACAAAAATGAAAAAAAGAAAAAACAGTTACTGATTTCATGAAACGATGCCAGCGACATCACAGGTTAATATATCATTTGCTTTCGCCTGTCCAATCTGTCTGTGAAACTGACCTTGCTTGTGTGTCTTCCAGCAATGCATATTTGGCCCCAGAGTTACACTTTTTATACTTGGCATGAGGTTGAAGATGGTCGCAGGCAATGGAGTGACTACTGACTTGGACAAATTGAGCTCCTGTAAAGAGGTCAGTCCATTGAACACATCTGGGCTCACACCCTTGAGTTGCTGGTTGTTTGATAGGTCCAGAACCTGCAGGTTTCTCAGGCCTCTAAAGCTGCTGGGCTGTATTGTTGACAGCTCAAGCAGGCCGCTGAGAGACAAATAGATGAGATCTTTCATTTCCTCAAAGGCGCCCTCCTCAATGGTGGTGAAGAGATTTCCGTCCAGGTTCAGATACTGCAAGGGAATTCCTGCAAGTTTGGGCACCGTCCGCAGCCTGTTTCCTGCTAGCATCAGGCTCTTAATATATGGAGCATGACCTTGTGGATTCCTGGAGACTGTAGTGAGATGGTTATTAGAAAGGTCCAAACTAATGGGGGTCTCCTGGCCCTTGGTAGTGAAGAGATCCAGTTTAAAGTCCTGGAACATGTTGTCACTGAGGTCCACATCAGCCAGTGGAAGCCCAGAGAAACAGCCATCTCCAAGGCTCTCCAGTGCATTCTGACTTAGGTCTAGAGTCTCTAGGTAGCGGAGTTTGGAGAAAGCCTTAGGACTGACCCTGGTGATGAGGTTGTTGCTAAGGTCCAGGCTGACTAGAGTGGTGTAGCCTGGTCCAGACAGCATGGAGTCTGTGATGGAGCCGATGGAGTTGTGAGACAGGTCCAGGTGGGATGTGTCCAGAGGAATAGGGACAGGAGCAGTGCCTGGACCAACTCCACTACAGTCCACCTTGGTCAGGCTGAAGCTGTCAAACAGACCATAGCTCTCTATCTCACACCGGCACTGTGGGTGGCAATTCTTTACCTCTCCTGCAGTCACCAGAGCTAGCAAGGAGGGCAGGGTGAGACACAGTAAGGCCACCATGGTGCTCTGTGAGGAAAACACATGAAATGGATTAAGTGGTGCCTTAAGACTACCACTCACAGCACTAGGCATACAGTCTTATGCAAAAGTTTAAATACCCCTGGTCAAATTGCATGTTGCTGCATTTTTGCATTTTGTTGTGCAAATTTTAATACATAATTTCTGCAGTTAATATACTGGAAAAAATAAAACTTTAAATGTGCCATAACGTTTGTACAGGATACATTTTATGTTTTATTTTTTTTCCAATATGATATATTCAGAAACTAAACAGCACTTATGCTATGAAATGTGCACACATGTTAACTTCTTTTCACTTAGAAAATCAACAAAACCTATAATTTAACCAGGGATGCCCAACGTTTCGAATAAGACGGTGGATGTCTGGGGTAAATGGTCAAGGACTGCAGTTTTCTTTCTTTTCTTATTTTGTCCACAGTATTGAACTTTTTTTCTCCTTACTACCAGGTTTACTGCTCACCTCGCTCACTGGGGGGGGGTGGCTTCCAAGTGGGAATACCTAAGCTCCCACAGGCCACCCCATACCTACACCCCTGATTTCTGTACCATTATACTGGTATTGGTGTCATACAGCTTTGTTAATTTTTAGTTTTAGTGGCATTGATATATAACAAAAGCAATGTATGTGATTTACTGGTGATTTATACCATTTTTGAAAGAACAGTTCAAAGCACATAAAACCAAATAACTAATATGTTTCCTTTCTGGAAATGTGGTGTCTGACAGCTTAACATTTACAATAAGATGTAAGATTCAGGTTCATGTAATTTTAGGCTACAGAGTCAAATCAAAACAAGCTATGACATGTTTGGAAGACATTCTTTTAGCACTGAGGACCAGTATGCAGGAAACCTAGATATTTTTAGAAAATATTTTTATCCTGGATTTTATCAGCACACAACAGCTGTTTTTTGTTCTCGTAGCTTCTTTGTGTGGATGACTGGGTATCATGCAAAATGAGCACTATATGAAGCATTTTAAGATCATGCAATTTAATATGTATTTCAAAGTCAAAACATTTTTGACACAGTCAAGTATATTTTATTATTTTCTGTCAGAACAACAGATTTTGTAGTGGTAATGAGTATAACATATGTCCCAGAACAGGCTGTTGCAGCATGTTGAGTAAGGTCATGTAAACGTTAGTGTAAGGCCATGTAAACAAGCTAGCCCAATAAATTCCTGTCCTCTGAACTTATCTAGGATACATAATACTGTATTATTTGGTACCCATAATTTAAACCAATCCACACCTTATACTTACTTTTTAATACTTATACATACATACATATTTGGTGACAAGTGTGCATAGGCAATATTTTAAGGCCAGCATGCTCAAGTATCCTTATCTAAGGCCAGAGCAAGATACTATATTGTATAATACAAGACTACCCCAAAACACTTTCACATAATAATTACAAAGAAGTCAATTAAACAGTCCTGAACATATCGTTGGTGGCAAAACAAAATCTCAAAATTTCAAAAAAGCAATTCATAACTTTCAGTATAGATTAATATAAAGAGATTTTATTCTAAGTAATTTTGACTCCCTTTGTAAAGGACAGCTAGCATTTTCAAATTATGGACAAAAGACAAAATGGAGAGACAAGGTTTTGTTCCAACAGTGACAATATACAACATGTATATTTACAGTGAAGGGGAGTTTGTATTATAGTGTATTTTCCCTTTAACTCCTGAAGCAAGAGCAACTTGCCAGCCCTAATTTCTTAACTTCCTTGGCTCCCAGAGGACTTGACCTAATTCTGATGATCAAAGACTGTATTCCATGTTTTTTCTTCTTCAATTACAGTAGATTTTCATGGTTAGAAGGATGTAAGCCTTTTTTTAAGGCATGAGTGTGAGATGCTAGGGTTCCTCATTAAGTTGATGATGACAAATATGCAACAACACTGTTGTTTTGATACTTAAAACGATGAACTGTATGAACCTCACTACTGAACTGTGTTAGGTCAAGCCATGGTGCAATTTCACAAGCTAACTCACAATACTAACTAGGCACTTACTGTCATATAAATGACCATAAACCAAAGTATACATTTCAGTCCTTATTAAAAAACTATAAAGTACATACCTCTTGAGATGCTCTCTGAACAGAAGGTGTACTGCACTGAGTTCTGAGAGTTATGCCAGCAAATGGGCTTTTTGTTTAGGCACATGACCTGAACTTAAACCTAATTGCCTGACTGTGTCATAGTGTAAACACTACTGTACACACACTGATACTGGACAGAGGTGATCTATGACTCCCAAACAGTGGGCCAAAAGATATGTCAGCATGAGCTAGCATAAAGCTGATTACAAATTAGTGGAAAGGTGCAAGCTTGCATGTTGGAGGGTAACACTCCACTTTAATGGATAGCTATCACTTAAGCTAATACACCACGGTCTTTGGCTAAAGGTTTGCCCTTATGTAACCTGGTTGTATAACACTACAGGTACAATAAAACACTTGAGTGCACTGCGATGACAGTTGACCATGGATTTTATCACACATTGTTTATTTCCCTCAAAAGCTCGATCATGTATAAACTGTGGATAAAGGTGAAGGCTCTCACGCACAAATCAGAACTTTTTCAAAACAGTTATTTCTCTGTTTTCCTGTCCTCGCTGACTGAACCCATGGAAAAGGGTGTTGGTGGCAGTTGCTATCACCGCTTGGCTTGTTGTTTCAGTGACTTCACTCTATTGCCACAGGAGAGAGAGAGCAAACGGATGTCTAAGTGTTCTCCAAATAAACTTTTGCCTAAGCCTTAATGCGTGTTCCTCCCTCCTATGGAGATTAGTGGCTACAGCCAGAAATGTCTGAGTCCTTCTTAATAGGCACTTTTTAAAACTTTTAAATACGGTTTTGAAAAAGCCTGACCAGAGCCATTCTTAAAGGAACAGTTCAGCGAAAATCACATTTACCCAATTACCCCAAACATAGCTGGTCAACCAAGACATGTTTGGTGTCTAAAATTTGCTTCTGTAGTTTTGTACTGAAGTTATGAGGATAATGTAACAGATTTTTAATAACATAGACCTTCTTTACTTAGCTACATTAGTAGGCCTGGATTATCAAGCTATCAGCCCCTGGGCATAAATGTTTGGTGGGCTCCTACATCTTTTTTGGGTGGTCAGTGATTTTTTGTATGATATCACAACAGGCTACACAAGGCCTACGCAGCACCACAATAGCAGCACACTGACTGCAGTGTTGGGCACGTCACCACTATGAAATGCATTTTTTTTTTTCAATGCAGAGAAAACAAAAGCAAGATCACGCACACATTAATGAGGACATAGCTTAACATAAACCCAACAAACAATGCAAGACTTCCCTAAAGCATGCGTCTGTTATTGACAAGCAAAACATCAACCATAATGAAGACAAAATAAATTAAAATCGGATAGCAGAAATGTACAAAAACAGAGAAAAAAGCAGCAAACTTAAAAACCCAATCCATCAAGCAGTCTAGCTAAAGCATACTGCCACTCGGGTGGTTGACATATATACATATATATTTATATATGTGGCTTTGGAAATAGGCATATTCTACTCTGTAGAAGTTTCAGTTCTCGCTTTTACAGATCCACCAGACACATCTTTTGAATACCTGGAGCTTCTGATTCACATATCTCAGGAACGTTAGCTCACTGCTAAAAAATTAAAAGCTTAACCGAGGTAATGGAGGGTAGTTTAATGGTTGCTAAGCAGTGATTTGAGAAGAAAATGAAGCGGACGTTTAGGAAAGACACGCAGAGAATGAAGATTATGATCGGCTGTCACACAATGACAAATTACACCGTGTCCTAACAGCAAGTGAATGTTCAACGGTAGTATTGCATTGCGTTGCAAAGCCTTCATTACGTTTACACTGGAACTTCAAGTGCGCGTGTCAGGTAATCAGCATATCAACTTCCATCGGTCCTGACCAGCATGCCAGCACCCAAAACACAACATATGCTAGTGACCAGTTACGCTGCTTTTTTCTAAAAGGGTCATTTAAACATTACAGCAAAAATAATTATTCAAATCCTGAATAAACACTAAAGCACACATCCTAATACCAACATCATGAAGCTTTGTGAAAGAAGTAACTTTAAAACATAAAAGTGCTGGAAGTATGGTGACCACTGCAAGAATTTCCAGTCGAGTGGTTTAAATCCTTAAATGGTCAAAGGACTCAGGTTTAAACATTTATTACATGCTTCTAAAACTCTGAGCTTGCAATGTAGACCATGAAGCTACTAAATAATGAGCCTTATGATGTAATAAAATTGAGATTTTATGAGGTTAAAGGACTATCAACGTCCTGTACAGACAGATCACTCCTACGTGTAAAGCAATAAAACAAGTATGAGCATCTGACATCACAGGTTCAACTTTGTATGCCACGTGCTAAGAAAGAAATCCATGAAATTAAAATAAAGGCCCAGGACATGGAAAACTAAATTTCCCTTGCTTTTTGAAATAAAAGAGATTAATGTAACAAGTAAACATTGCCAAAGACATTGTTAAAGTTTCAAGACATGCCATACCTTATCCACACAGTCCATATATGAAAACTAAGTTGCAAAAACAGCCCATTTTTAACTAACTGTTCCTGTGATGTCATGAAAAAACAAAACATTTACATATATCTACCTATCCAGCCTTCAGCAGTTTGGCCCTGCCCATTCATGTTGAAGTTATAAGGAGGAGGAGAATACAGGGCAGGGATAAAGTGAGGTTTGAAAATGATCATAAGTGGGCCACAGAGACAAAAAATAGAACACAAGAAAAATGAAGGATATTAATTATAGCACTTATATAGCACTTTCAGCATATACAGAGTCTTACTTCAACATAAAATGCAACTGACACCTCATTTTTGTGGTTTTTTCACTTTCATTAGTGAAAATCCTGGAAATCAGCAGAGAAAAAACAGAAGGGACTGGATGAGATACCTTCAAAGTACTTATGACAGAAGACATCTGGCTGTTTCATGGGGATCATGACCTCTCCAGGTGTTATCTCAACTAACCTTCTCTTAAAACTAACAGGAGCGTAAGCGTTTTGAGGTATTTAAACAGTGAATGCTCTAAAAAAGCCACAAAGCAATTTTCAACCACATATTTTCTTCCTAGAAATACTAGGAAGGCCTCGGGGAAATTACCTAAGGCCTGCCCACAAACGTTTCACAAATCATTCTTTCACAAAGCCTCAGCTACACTCTCAGAAATAAAGGTACGAAACTGTCACTGGGGCAGGACCCCTCTTGTCACTGGGGTGGTTCCCTCAAGGGTCCATCTCTGTACCTTTAGTCAGGGAACATAACTGTACATAATCCATTGAAATATTTTCTAAGTTGTACTGACTCCACACACCCCGTCTCGGCTCCAGGCTTTTTATTTTACTGTTCTGTTTTAAAACATTAGGTTATGAAAAGGTATAAATACATACTTTTCACCTGGAAAAAATATACTTAAGGTACACAATTGGACCTTAAAACCACTGTTGTACCTTTGAGGGAACATTTACATTGTTTGTACCTAGATAAACAAAAAAATGTACCTGCACAGAACCTTTATTTCTAACAGCGTAGAAGTTGGTTCTGATGCTCATCTGGGCTGTTTTGGGCTGTTTTCTTCAAAAGAACTGTTTTCAATATTACAATAATGTCTACATTTTTACTGAACCTAACTCACATGTGGTGTTTGTGGATGCATAATTGTCAAATACAGAGCACTGTTAGAACGATGAATCAAAGCAGCTCACCCCATGCTGTTGAGAGAACTGAAGCGAGTTCTCAACTATTTAATTAGCAGACAGCAGACATCCTAATCCAATAAAGCTGAATGAATGCACCACCTTAAGAAGAGTCTGATTTAATATGAGCTTACGCTGGTGGAGCTTAAAACAGTCCAGCACTATAAGCTTTGGAAAAGCTTATAATTCAGTGACTATGTTATACATTTCCTCCATGTTGTAACAGACATGACATAATAATCTTGATATGCACTAAGTGTGATTTACAAGCTTTTGTCTTACCAATGCAAGCATCTCTTTATGTGTAATGTTATGGCAAAGATCTTTAATTCCTAAAAGTCTTCAGCAAACATGTAGACAATAGTAAGTAGAGACGTCACAGCTTTCTCATCCCACCCTTCTGTAAATCACTCACAAAGAAGGTGTAAAAAATGTATAATGAGTAGCTACAAGCTAACTTAAACTGTCTGACAAAACTATCTATGTTGTTCTGGGACAGATTAAAGGGGAATTACACCAATTTTTCAAAATGTCTCCATAATTCAGTGGTTGAAATGTAAACAATGTCATTCAGGGTGGTTTGATCCGAAATGGTTCATCTGTAGAGAAACTTACTGACTCTGATTTATTTACAGTGGTGGTAATAGGAACCAGAGGTCCTGACGTCTACAACACAAATATAGACATTTTATTTAATATCCAAAGCCACCAATGTACACAAGTCTTCTGAGGTTTTTTAATGTAATGTTGATGATGGTAAAATAGTGGTAAATCTGAAAAAAAGAAAAAACAGAGTTTTCTTTGGAGATCATTTTGCCTCAGAACACCCTTCATGTATCCCTCCACCATAAACAGTTCAGAATAAATTGATTAAAATACATTTTAGGCCAAAACTTATCTCAAAATTACTGTAAAACAATGTCTCGGGCATCAGACAGTGTATTCATAACCATTTAATGTAATAACTGTCTGTGATCAGATGTCTGGTTCCTATCACTACCGCTGTGAACAATTCTGACTTACTAAGTTTCTCTAGAATTAAGCATTTCGCACCAAACTAATCTGAATGACTTTGTTTACATCTTAACCAACTTAACCAACAGAATATTTGAAAAAAATCAAAGAGTTCCTCTTTAAAACACACTGCGGTAAAAAGCTCTAAATGATGTTTTAACATTTAAAACTACTGAAATCCTGTGTCCTGGACGTAAACTAAGGGTGCCCAAAATGCAATATTTGTAGTGGGCCATGGGCCAAAAAGACAATATACAAATTAATAAATTAACATAAGAATTAGGAGAGTAAACATCCACTTGGGCCAACTTTGGCACATGGGTCAAACTTTGGGCGGGCCATCCATAAACCCTTAGTTAACATCTTCTCTCTTGGGTGGTTCAAATTAATTCTGTTTAGCACTTCGGCTGTTTTACTGTTGCTCACACCTCTCACTTTGGAGCTTTTGCATTTTGTTTTAGATTAAAAAGTTAAGCTAACAAGCTTCAGTTCCTATACTGATAGATGCAGGATGTACTAGTTCCACTGCAGCTATACAGGGATAAAATTTACCCAAGTATATTTGTGAGGAAATGAATCTACTGTTTACTCGATTACGTTTTGGTCATTAACATTTAGTTCCTAATTCCTTTTTTTGTTGTTGTTTATTTCATTTTCTCCTCTTGGTTCAGTATCTGGGCTGCTTTACTGTTCGACTTTCAGTTTGGCACTTTTAATGGTTTATTTGAGACCAAAAGGTTCCCAAAGAGAAAAGAACAGTGCCAAATAGTTCCTAATGCTGATAAATGCTGTATGTTCTAAGGAGTTTTGCTGCAGTTCTATAGGGAACTCAATACTATGAGTTTTCAGCCTAATTCTGCTGCACTCAAGCTTTTTGGTAGCGACTTTTACTTCAACTGGAGTCATTAATTCAGTGAAGTCAGAACACTTTTACTGGAGTTTGGGTTGAGGCCACTCTGCCCACCTCTGAGAGCAGTACGTAAGCAGGCTACGTGCCGACGTTAAGATGATGAAAGACTCTGTCACAGTTTAAGAAGTTGCACTTTAGCATAAAAATAAGACACAGCTGATCAAAAGTGGGGGTAATGAGCATC